CTTAGTTCCAGAAAGCCTCTACTAGCAAGTTTCTGAATAGAGGATCTAGATTGTTCCAGCATTCCAGCTAGGAATTTCATGCTGCTGGAAGCCGAAGGTATCTCTCTGCACTCTTACAACATGGTATGTTTTCAGCTTCCTAGAGGCAGTTCAGTTTCACACAATTCCTCCTCCTACTTCAGCCACCCGGAGCTTGATTCTTTATAGAGTTTACAATGACTGTTGAATTAACTAGCAGTTGAACCCTTGCAGGACCAGGGTCTTAAGAAGAAAGTCACACTGGCCTTAAAGCAGATTTGACTGTTTTAAGCTAGAGTCTTTTCTTAAGTACTCAGCTTCTGCCCACTTAGAAAGCTTGGGCTGTGGAATGCAAGCCACAGATCCGTTACAGAGTTCAGAGGCAAGCTGTACAGTCAAATATTGTTCCAATTTTTTTTTTCCTTCTCTCACATAATTTCATAACAATACTCTCTTCCTCCATGCCTCTTTTCTATTGACAAACAGTATTGTATCCCTTGGAGTGATGAAAGGAAAAGCCACTGAACTGCATCACCAACACATGGCAGTTCCTTTCATATTTAATGAAATATATGACAGTAAATGGACCAGAAATGTACCTAAATAAACCACATTCATAGACCAAAGGAAGAAGACATTGTTAAGCACTAAGTTTAATACACAGCGGGTATCCAATGGATACAACAGAAAAGTTAATTCATTCAGAATTGTAAGGAAGCAACAGTTGTGCATTATTATTTTTTTGCTTGGTTTCACCATGTACAAACATTTGAACCAGGCCTCTCAACGTTAGGCAGGTCAACAGACAGAGTAAAAGCAGACGCTTGCTTATTGTAACTGAGGTTATTTTCTTTAAGCAAAACAAAGAAATACATATTTGGTTAGCTTAGAAACTTTTTTTAAAACAAGAAAAGAATTACAGAGAGAATCAGTGACAATTATATGAAATCAAAATATAGTCTGCTAAAGCAGTTTCAGCTCAGCAGGCAAACTCCCTCATTCCTTTTTTTTTAAATGCTGTCTTCTCATCCAGCCCCCATGTTGCTTTTCATCCATTCCTGATGACCATTACCCTCTGTGCTTATACAGATGGTTGTCGTGGAGACCGGCTGTTTCCCTACTTTTAATTCTCTTTTTCCAGCACAAGCTACCCTCTCACACCTGAGCTGTGGCAGGCTCCTCCCGAAACAGTCTCAAGAAAACATCTTTTCTGTGGCATAGTGCCTGAATGCAGTGCCCCTATAGCTCTTGTCCTACTGGTAATTAATTGCCTTCTTCAAGCGGTGAGAGGGGAATAGGCTCATAGCTCCAAGACTTTTCTTCCTGCTCATCTTTTGCAGAGACCAGTGACTGCAGCAGAAGCCCAACCAAGGTGACAGGCTGGGTAGGATTCAGTGCTGAACAGATATCATTTCAGCCAGTAGGGAGGTGCAGGGTAATAACAGCCACGATGTAGACAGGGCAGATGAATTATCTGCAATGTTACTAATTGCCACAAATGTCAGCACTAAACCTTCGTGGGTTTGGTCTAGATGAGCAAGTCTGGTGCTGCTGGGTGCTAAGCATTATACAACTAGATGCCAATCTATATAAGCAATTCCTCCCACAGATCTTGTAAAATGGAAGCACTTGTGTAAAGTTACCCACCAACTTGTTCTCTTATCCATTCCAGAGTAATGGCAGACAATGACACCTTGTGTGCTGACAACTGCTGTGTCATTGACCTGGGCCACTGGACGACGAGGCATCCTCCAGCCAGGAAAGAAACTACACACAGGCAAGGTAAAGGGTTCCTTTGTTGGCACAGTCTCTGCAGAGAACTACTCAGTTGTGTTCGTGCTCTGCTTACCAAGCTTTTGTATGTTAAAGGAAATGTAGTAGTGAAAACATGACTAAGAGTCTGAATGGGAAAACAGCTACAGAGCACAAGGAGCCCCTCTGTCGTATTTTTACACACTGTGAACTCTCCAGCTGGATTTGCATTTGATAGATAGAACCCTGTTCTTGTTTTCTGGGCAGGGTTGGTCGTTGGCTCTATAATTCTGTGTGGAGTTGAAGTCTCCTGGTTCATTCCTTTGCTCCAGCAAATTTGGAAGGCCTGAGAGGCTTCTCTTCAACACTCAAGCATTTCAGGGTATCCAACTTCCCCTTTTACATTAAACCTTCATAAAAAACCAGCCACTTTGCCCTCCCTTCCACTACCCTGTTCTGTCCTGAGTGCTAGATCTATGGCAGCAATTCATTAACTCCTCTTTGCCTCCAAAAAGCGCTTTCAGGTCATGGCACATGCATTATGCCTAGGGTGCGACAACTCCTGTTGTTTCAGTTAGGGAAACCGAGATACAAACTAGTTTCAAGCTCCTGATTACAGGAATTCTTGGATTACGCTGAGGTGTTCAGAGGATACCTTTCTCTCTTTTGCTCCTTCCTGAAAGGGAAATCTTATTTTTCAGCTCACAAACTCTGTTGGCTTGAAGACATTGAAGCTTGTAGCCAAAGCTTACGTTACTCTAGCAGACATGCTATTTCTTTTAAAATGCTGTCTTAGGAATTTACCTTGCTGGTGGCCTGACTCAAAATCTTATGGTAGCTAGCTGTAAAAGACCAGTTATATATAGTTCCTCCTTCCCCTTGGGATCAGTGACAGATTTCAGAAAGCTATGCTTTTCTGGCAGGCTGGCCTGACTCCATTAATCTCCCTGTTGCTGGGAATTTGAAATCTTTTTATCCTGGTTCAGGCTCAGGTACAGCTTGATGAGGATGCGTGAGCAGTGAGGATAGAGGTTATGTCTACAGCGTGAAACAAAGGTTTGACGCAGCTTGGATCTTGTTCGTTTGGGATACCATGGTCCAGCTTGCAGCAGGTGAGACTTCAGTAATAGCTGAACTTATAGGGGCACTAGTTTGAAAAACCCAAACCTTTGGGGTCTTGAGACAGATGGAACCAAGCCATCGGTTGTCCGTTAACATTGATGTAGTTGCCAAATCTCAGCGTAAAGCACGATTGTTTGGCTTCAATTACAATGCGAGGCTGAGGTCTGCTCTAGCTGAGATGGGAGTTCTGAGCAATAGCTGTCTCCCCAACGTGGCAGCTGCATTCTGAGGAGGTGGGTTTCTGATACCTCTTGCATCTGTGATGTGTCCCCTTCTGCTCCGCTCCCACCTTGCCAACACAGTCACAATCTGGACTGCTCTTTGTCACGTGAGTCACGATTTTAGTGGCAGGAGCTTTCGCTGCATGGGCATTAGAAAGGAAGAAGGCCTAGCGGGTGGCACTGTCACGTGAAACAACCTCAAAAGGACAGCAGCACTAAATGGAGAATTAAATGAGCAAAGCCTGACTCCCCTAATGCTCTGGGGCTGGTTGGCAGTAGTTGCAGCCTCTCTTAGTTTTGCATCTAGAAGGTTAGCAAATGTTATACAGAAAACAGACCTTGAAATAAGCTTCCCTGTCTCAAAGCTCAGAGGGACACAAATTCTTGGGGAACAGGAATAAGAGAGAGAAAAATACATTTCAATCAAACGACTGCAAAAAAGTATAATTTGTCAAGTTTTGCAAACCATATGAAAACAATTCAAAAGTGACACAAAAATATATATAAGTTTGAAAAATACTTAAAAGAAAAAAGTACAGATTTCACAATATCAAAACAAATGACGTATGGTTAAAAAGAAAAAAAAAAGACATTGAATAACACCATATTGGCAGAAAAAGTAAACCTCTCCAGGGCAGCTGTGTTCTGTCATTTAAAGTGTCAGTTTGTGTATCTAGGATCTGTCTATAATGTGCTCAGCAATGACAACATTAACTCTGAGCATTAGAAGAACCTCATAGCAGCGAGTCAAATCTGAGCAATGTGTACAAGGGAAGAGAGCAGCGAGGGTTACTGTGCTCAGAGGCCTGAACGTCCTGACTTACATGGCCATGGTCTCCTCTTACTGCTACCAGACACAAAATCTTTTCTAAATCCAGCCTAAGGGAAGATTTGTGAATTCTGAAAGAACTGTGGGAAGCAGAGGGCTCTAAGCACAGACTGCATGATGTGTTGTCGAGTGCATGGCTGTGAGGCAAACCTTAGCCTTTGGCTTCTTGAGCCTTTACAGGTCTGACAGATGGAGACCATCATAGTGGGACTCTCCTCTCACCTACATCATATAAACTGGTGTAATGCTGCCGATGCAAGCAGGACTGCACTGGTAAGTGCTACTGGGAGTCAGATAAGAATAGGGCTTTTGCTTCCCAGAAGAGGGGGAAGATGTTGGGGTGGAACAAGAGGTGCTGTTTCCTGGGATCGCCCTCCAAAGGGTGCCTGGAGACTCCCCAGTCTCAGGAGAGGACTTTAGCACCTCCAACTACAGCATTTGTGCTGCAGTGAGCTTCCCATAAAGGGAGATTAACTTTGCCACTGAACATGGTTTGCACTGATGCAGATTGAGAAAGAGCAGAACAGCTCCAGTCCGTTACTGGGACTTGCACACATGGTACAAATCGCTCTGGACCAGTAAAGCTTATTGTGCAGAGGGGAAATATGCCTCCTGGCAGATGTAGCCCTTCCCCATAAAACAGAACACAACTAAAAAGGTGGTGAAGGACTGGAATGAAGATGTGTAGCCCTTTGTGAACAAACCTTTTTCCTTGTTGCACAGGCTCCCCCTTAAAGAGAAAAGCTCTGTGTTGCCAAGGATGTGTAATTGGTTTTACTGGTCATCCCTGACATGACGAGGCTGGGTGGGCTGACAGATCGTACTGTACCACCAAAGGGGGCAAAGCAGACCTCTTGACTTTAATGGGAATGTCCTACTGCTGAACGACCCACAAGCAATGCTTCCACTAAAGTGAGTCTTCTATAAAAAAAATCCTTAATGGAGTGAATTGACTTAAAATATCTTTCTTCCCCATTTCTTCCATTTACAGTATCACTAAAAAGGTCAGTCCTTTTGGTCTAATGCTCTGGTATTGTCCCCCCCAACCTCTCTAACCAAATAAATAACTCATCGCTGCCTGTAAACCCATTGAGCAGCCAATACCAATTCAGGACTGGTGTTCTTGCAGACGTTACAGAACCTCATGCAATACAGCAAAAGGGAATTTTCTAAAAAGTGGGGAAATAAAAATGTCACACTAGCGATCACACAACTAGGTCTTCAAGCTCATGATCATTTGAGGCTCTCTGTGTGGTCTAAAATAAAAAGGTTAAAAGATACATAATGTAGTTGTCTTTGTTTTTTGTTTTCTTTTTATACAGAAATCATACACACAGAACTTCAACCTGAAACTTCATAACAAAAAAAGTCCACTAATTTAAGGAAAGCATTTTGTTGTGCAAAAAGTCCCTCCCCCCTCCCCTGTTCACCTTCATCTACTGAGGGTCTCACACACACACATAAAGTTTCCTTCCAACAGGCGAGTTGGTAAGAAAGAGTCCTCCCTATGTACAGTGAATTAGAGAGAAGCTGGATACAGTGCTGGCAAGAGGCGTTAGACGATTGCCTCTATCTGGAAGTGTCCATGTTCTCCTCCTTAAAGTTACTGCAGTGCTCTATAACTTTCCTATGGATAAAGCAAGGACAAGGAGAGAGGATTTAGTTTAAAGCTTATTGCATGTCAGTTGTGGGACAGTAACATAAGAACTGTCCAACAGCTTGATCTTTAGGGAAATGTATACTATTTGCAGCAGGCAGTCTCTTCCGAGATACGCGTCAACCAATATTTGTGTCAAAACCAAGTATATTCCACAAAAGCAGCTTAGAGCTCACAGTTCATCCCCTTGGAATTTTGAGTCATGTTAGTATACATCCAGATCCATATGTGACTGTTCATTCATCACCCCTGTGTCCAAATCATCAGGTAACTTTGAACCACATCAGGAAACACATGCATATGGATGTTTGTCACTCACTCTGCTGTCATCTGTCCCTGCTTTTTCTATTCTATTCATTTACCATTCCTGCAGTGTCCCATCGCTGTACGCAATCTGCCTAACTTGCAAGAGTCTTTGCAGGCTTCAGTCACCTCTGGTGTTTAGCAACCTTCAGCTCCAGGGAATGCCTGCTGCCCACCCACAGGGTACATGTTCCCAGCTCATCTCTACCTCTCTTTTATATTCATCCTGCCGGTGTGAAATTTGTCAATGATTCGAAGCTGCAGCTGGCTTTTAAAACTCTGAAAGAATGGCTCCAAAGGAAGGTCACACAACAAAGTAAGTTGGGGAAGCTCACAAAAGTGATGGACTCCCTCCACCTTTTGAAAAATCCTTTCTTTGGTAGCCTTACTTGATGCAGAAGAATAAAAACTAAACTAAAGCTAAACTGAATGTTTGATGAGAGTGCATTGGTTTCTTACCGAGCCATTTCCTTGGTCTCTTGCCGTGCTGAGGCCATTTTAATCATGTCCTTCAGAAGGGGAATCCCACCTTCTTTGATCAGCAGTGGGCAGTACTTGTCAGCTGCAGAGAAAGGAATAAAACGTCCTTGTGAACCTTCACAGGAGTGGTATAAAGGATGGCAGGAAGGGAAGGAGAAGCCTGGGGGCTGAGAAGCCACAAAACTTCTCTTTTTTTAGGGAGCCAGCCTGCTAGGGGTGCCCTGGCTGTGAAAACAACAGGCACAAAACAGCTGAGAATGTAAGAGCATGGCCAGAAGGATCAAAACATTGAAGGAATTTCCTACACACTAAGTCTCATTTTTTCTCATTTGGCTGTGCTGCCTGGACATTCCTGCATCGTTCAAAGACGGTTCTCCCTACCTACAGAGCTAAACTGGGAAGTTTTTCAGCTGACAAGCTCAGAGCCACACCCTCAACTTCTACAGTGCAGTGGATGCGATTTCGAAAAGGGAACTTACGGTAGACAGAGACCAGGTTATACAGTGCCCAGGTGGCCCAATGCTGGCTGACTGGGGAGATCCCTTGTGGAAGAAGTCGAAGGATTGGTTCAAATGACCTGCACAGAAATATTGCAGAAGTTGTTAAAAAAAAATCCAAGAGCTGCTTCTTTCAGCACCTTTGCCATTCAAAGCAATACAAACTCTGTGCTCACAGACACCACAGCAGTAAATCACTGGCATGCCAAAGACTCTGGCATCAAAGACTAAGTCTGTGTCACACAGCAATCCTGGCAGGCTTACGGGCCCTACCACTATAGCGTAAACGTGCTGCCCAGATAAATAGCTGCAACTGAGTCCCAGAACTGATTTCCATCCTCTGTCAGTCATTTCCTCACGACAGCCAAAACCCAGCAGTGCTGATCTTTCCGTAGAGGGGCCAAAGCAAAATTATACCCAGCCAAAGCTAGCTGCTCACATGCAATGGTTGCTGCATTTGTTCTGACAAAGTAATTTGTCTATACTGTCAAACAGGCACTGGAATGCCATTTGTTCTGGATCCCTGCCAGGCACTATGGAAATAACAGATTACCTGATACCCTCTTACAGGAAAGGCTTTGGAAGATTCTACCAGTTGTATTAATCCGTGAAGGGACTTCTGGGAACTGTGTCTAAATATCCCCCAGAGAGAGAAAACTACAGCAATCCATGTGGCTCTCAAAAGCAAACAGACTTAAGGAGGTGTAAAGGACAGCAGCAGTCCCAGACAGTCAGATCCCAGCTTTCCTAACTACACAATTTCACCAGAAACATGCAGGAGAAATTCTGTTAGGCTCCCACACTTCTCCCATAGGAATTGCCAGGCGAGGTGTCTAATTTCAGCAGCCTGTGTAACATTTCAAAGGAAGATGTAAAACCCTTGCTAAATAGGTCCCTGAGGATGTTTCTCCTTCTCTCTGAAGCACAGCCTCCATGCTGGGCTATACCTCTTCCCTTCTCTCTGTTGGTTCTTGCCTCCTGTGACAATCCTGGCTCCTAGGTGAGTGGGCCAAACTTTTCTATTCCTCACCTGTAATTAATATTTCTCCTGGAATTGATATCCCAGCTCTGGATGGCTGCCCACATCCTCTTCACAACCTCCTCTCGGTGGGGCTCACATATACCCCAAGCCTCTGGACCATCAAACATGATATGGGAGAGCACACCACAGGCATTATAAGATACCTCAATCCCATCTGCTTTGCTTTCCAGCAGGTTGCTGCCAAGAGAGAAGAGATCATTTAGAGGTGTTGATGCACCAAAGGTTTCAAAGTTTCCAGGTGATTCAGGGGCAGAACTCCAGAGCATTCACCCTGCCCTAGCCCAGCTCTCACCTGAACACACTGATGAACTGGGAGGTCATGAGCTGTGGGCGGAGCTCCTTCACCTCTGCTACATTGCCCAGGAGGCCCAGCATGTTGCGATGTAGTTCCTGTTTCTCTGGGAACTCCTAAGTGAGCAAAGAGCAGGATTATACAAAAGTTAGAGCCATGGTGATGTTGAGAACAAGGAGCCCTTCAAAGAGATTGTACAGCATGTCTGGAAGGGCTAAGTATTTTGGGATAGTCAGCAATGGTTCTATAGCAGATGCTAAATGGGATCCCTGGTGTTCAAGATACGTGTGAAACGAGAGAATTGAGGCCAGGGCCTGCTATTCACTGCTGCTCTACTGAAGGGAGGCTGCATACAAGATGGAAAAGAGGAAGATGTGTTGCATGTAAGTTTCTTTGTTCTTCTACTGGCTGGGTGAGTGGATGTGAGAAAGAAAAAGCACATGCAAGCTTTTTCTTTTCTGGCTGTGCAACATAGGAAGTACTGCTTATAGATTAGCATAGCTAGGGATCCTGCCCAGACACCTGCATCTCCACTGCTAATGTCAGCGTTCCTCTAGAGGAAACCAGATGTACTTACTTTCAAGCACTCCAAGAACAGTTTCATGCCACTGTAGTTAAGGAACATCTCACAGTTATCAGGGGTCTCATCAGTGATGTTCCAGAGGGCACTCCAGGAGAACTCCATCACCTGATCACACTACACAGCCAAAGAGACAGGGACAGAAACAGAGCTTTGCTAATGTGGGAGCCCAGAGCAAACCAACCACTTGTGTTTCCTCTCCAGTATTGCCCTAGATGGCTCCAGAGGTAAGAAAACATTGTTATTCACTTTCAACTTGTCAGCAAGTGGGTTTTCTGTTTAATATCTTTGCCTCCCTGTCACATTCCCCTGCCCTCACCCAGGTCCAGGAAATTCTGCAGCATCACCTGAGATGCCCTGTGTTTGCTAGAGAAGCTGAGCTGGCACTCTGGACTGATCTCTGTGCCTAAGTCAGACTGAAGAGAAAATACTTTATGTCTACATTTTTGAGGGAAACACTCACCGTTTTATCAGCCAACTTCTTCTGTATCAACTTTAGCATTGTCTGTGGGCAGAGGAAGGAGAAGAGTGAGAAACAGTTCAAGAATCATAGAGCTAAAAGTAACTGCTGTAGTACTGTAGGGCTGGCTACAGCCAATTTGCAGGGATATGCAGTTTTGATCCTTTGTAGAAAACCTACTTGGTATCTCCCTCTCTAAACCAGGAGGACTGGGTTATGTTCAATGTTGCAAGTATTCACAGACCTGAAGTATGTCACAGTCCCCGAGCTGTTGAGTTTGCAGTCAAGTCAGTTTTGATTTGTACGACAAAGTCTGGAATGTGGTATAACTACACCAAAGCAGTGGCCTCTGCAGCTCTTTGAAAAGGTGAGGGATGTGACATGAGTTGGGAAACTGATGCAAACTTGGGGAGATGCAGAAGGAGCTAGTCAAAAAGTGGTACCAGTTCTGGAAATGATATGGTGCAGTGAAGAGGGAAGGTATAAGGTCATGCTGCTTCCCTGCTGTCACAGCCAGCCTATCTTCAAGACCATGACTTCCAGTGCTGGCAAGTCAGCAAAAGATGCCACGTGGAGGGTTAGGTCCCAGGAGAAGTTAGCACTGCCGAGACACTGGTTCCCTCCTGTGATACTATAAGGTTGGATCACTGGCTGGATGCATTTGGTGGACTGCTGCAAGGGAATGGTGCTAGCCTGGGTTAAGGGTAAGCAGACGCCTTGGGACCATACCAACCATGACAAACCCCATCTTGCCCACAGCTTCTTTATGATCGTTGTCCACCTGGCAGACCAGAGCGTTACAGAGGTGCACAGCGATGCGCTGGATAGACTCATCCTGCCGGCTCTGGTTGAGGATGTTCAGCAGCAGCTCGTTGACTCGGCGGTACTGGAACTCCAGCTCCTCAGGAATGCTGAAGTTACACAATGTCAGGCAGCAATTTCGCTGTACCTGGGTCAAAAGGAAACAAACCCTGGGCCACGTGGCTAAGAAAACATGGACCCCATCACTTCATGTTCCTTTGCTGCTTGACTATGACCACTAAAATTTCTGTTACCCTCCTATCTAACATTCTGCTTTAGCTGTGCTCTACTGGTACCCGCTTCTCTCTCACTGTCACTCTCGTCTCACGTGGCCACACAATCACCCAATGCCCATCACTTTCCAAGCTGGTTTCTCGCTGCCTGTAGCTCTATGCAGCAGTCACCGTTCTGCAACCCAGTGGCACTGTAGTGTTTAATGTTGGCCAGCTTCCAGCACAGTGTCTTGGCATAATGTTTCTTTCTGTTGACTCAACACCCCTAACACCCACAGCCTTTTCACCTCACAGTCTGGGCTATGTGTCGTACACACCCTTTGACCACTGTAATCAGATAAAAAAGAGCCTTGCTATCGTCACTTTCTTCCCTTTGTTCTGGAGAATACTGCATGGCTAACGAGTACCCTGCATGTAATCCCCATCACTGAGTGAAGGCAAGGAGCAGATTGGGGCAACAGCTTCGCTGGCATCTGCCTTGGATCACATCCTGGAGGCTTAGAAGACCCAGATGCTAACACCAGGCTAAAGACTTAATAGAGGGAAGGAGGACTAACACTGGGCTGCTCTTACTGTGACTTCCTGGTAGGACTCCATGCCATTCAGCACCACCTGGATGACCTGGCGCCGCAGCTTTACGCTCTGCTCCATGCGGTACTCGGAGTTGGTCAGGTAGAACAGCGCCGCGCTGCCTGTCACCTGGATGTTTTTGTCATCCTTGTGGCACTTGAGGGCTGTGATCACCAGCTGCAGAGAAGCAACATGAAGCTTCAGTGCCACTGACTTGCTGTTGAGTCTTGGAGTGACTATTAAGGCTGTGTGGGCCAAAGACTGTTACAAGCCTGCGAGGAATGCATGGCCCAGGCATGACAGGAACACGCTTATGAAATGAAGGTACCCGGTTCCACAACACTACTAGAACTTTCTTCAGAATGGCCTGATATGGCGTCCCAGGGTGAAGAAAAGACTAGGACTGCAAAATTTCTCTTGTAAGGGTGAGGTAAATGCTAGCACAGGGCTCACCTGAAGGGCTCGCAGCAGCTGGCTGCAGCGTTCGATACGGGCAATGTCAAAAAGGAGGTTGATGGCCCGGGAAGTGATTTCTGGCCGGTGCTCAGTGTAAGCCTCAATAGCATTCAGCACTTGCTCTTCGTTCTTGTCTCCACTCACCTGGCATGGAGGAACAAAAAGAGTCAGGGAGAAGGAAAACCAACATGAGAAGGGAAGTCTGAGGGTAGATCTGGAAGGTCAAAGGGTACAACTTCCCTCTGCCCTACTAATAGGATTAGGCCCAGGATGAGAGCAAAGAGGCTGAGTCACTTCTCAGCCCAGAGGGACAAGGAATAGCATCTTTGAGGCAGGAGGATGCTAGTCACAAGTAAGACTCCCATTGTCTTATATCCTTTTCTTATAGTCACAGACATCCTGGTCCTTCAGGCAGGATGATCCTTCCATGCCCTTCTCTAACAGGTATGCTTTTAACCCTTGTAAAAACCATGTGGGTACAGGTCTTGCCTTCTGGCACCTTTCCTGCATTATCAGGTAGCTATTGAAAGGTCAGAGCTCAGTTGTTACACCCAAGACCCCATGAACTCCACTCCACTGGGAGCCAGTGATTTCCATGTTCTTTCAGCTTCTATCAAATATTCTTGCAGCCTTATTACCTTGTAGGCTGGAATATGTGTCAGGCGGCACAGAGATGTTTCAAAAAGGCCTAAGAACTGGAGTGGTCGTTTCAGACCCCGGAAGGGAGCAATGCTGCTCTTGGCTGGCTCAATGCTGGGGGGGGGGGGAGAAAAGAAAAAAAAGAGAGATCAGTCATGTTGGTACCATGTTTCTTCAGGTGTCTCCTGCCACAGAGACAGCTATCTGCTCTCCATTCGCTCTGACTGTACTGCTCCATAACTAAATAGCTACACTTGAGTTGTACACTAGCTAGCTTCTCCCAAATGTAACACTAGACATTCAGCCCAGGTGATCCTGAGTGAAGGGCTAAATGTGTTCAACAGAAACAGCAGGAAGAATTCATGCAGACAGAATGCAGCTTTCCCAGGTAGAATTTGTCCTGGAAATTCACTAGCTGGAGTGAACGTTTTCTCTTAGGAAAGGGCTGTGGATTTCATTGATCCAAACTATTTGCAAACTGGACTGCATGTCATCTGACAGACACGCTAGTCTGCCTCTGTGATCATGCAAGAACGCTAGTTTTGCTGCCATGTTCCTTATTGACCAAGAGCCAGTATTTTTTCACTGGCTCAGGTGGAAAGGAGCCAGTACTGTCCCACTTGTTTGCTTTTGTTCAGTAAGTGCTTGGGGGAAAGAAGGGCAGAGTTCTTGGCTGATCTGGAAAACCAGACCTCTAGGTACACCCCTGCTGAGGTGCACCAGGATTTTCAAAGGTTGTCTGCCCAGTATCCAGGTCAAACCTGAAAATCTGCCTCTAGATTCTAAACACTCAAACCTTCTACGAACATTGATGTATTGACTCGGTGTAGAAATGTTCTGTCTCGGAAGCGCCTAGATTTCAGTGAGGGTAAGAATGTTTTGTGTAGAAAATGTGTAAAGGGCTCTGGAGTCCTTTCAGAAAAAAATACAAACCACTGCAAGAGATCCCTGGAAGAATGTATGTAGAAAAAACAACTGAAATACTTCTTCAGATATGTATGAGAGGCAGATAGGATGAATTCTTTATTGCTCTTAAAAGCCCTTACATGCATCACAGGAATCACAGCTGATTCCCATACCAGTCTTTAGCATCAGGAGAAACTAGCAACAATTTTATTCTGCTTTTTTTAGTATTAATTAGACCTATGGAATTTGGAAACTTAGAAGAGGGAACTGTTTTTAATTCATCTCTGACTGGTCTATCCATCCAAGCAGACCTCAGTAACTGCTATATCCTTACCTTGTCTGGCCCATCTTCTCCTCCATGCTTGGGATAGTGCAGTTCTCCAGCATGGTGTGCCCTGAGATATCGAGCGAAGTGAGGTTTACCAAGTTTTCCACAAACAGGTTTAGAACCCGCCGGGTCAGCTTGAATTTGTAATAACTGGACAGATGATCTCTGGAGATATCCAAGTGCCTGCATATGACAGAGAGGAGCTCAGAGGCTGGAAAGCGTTAGCTGGGGCTTCTGCCTCTTTACCAGAGGAAGATGACAAGCCAAGTGTGATTATTATTTATTTATTATTATTATTTCCTTCACAAGATACAGGAATGTGGTTCTGTAGGATCTGGCAGCAGGATCTGGCCCTGTGTCTCACTGAAGCACTGAGATATCTGGTAGAGGTCTACTTAGAATGGAGCACAATGAATCATTTGGCCACATGTGACAATGGAAATTGCTCTGGGCTCAGAAACTGGCTTTCCTCAAGCTCCCTCACAGCAGCCACCTGAACATTTCTGACTGGTAATTAAGATGCACTAGAGGATCTTTGCGTCCCCAGAAACATACGTTGCCTCATCCCACAAATTAAGTTACACAAGTTTTTGTCTGCTTCCCCAATCTTCTATTTTTTCCACCCCTGGCTATTACGCTGCCCTGATTTCATTTATCTTCAGGTATTTAAATGCTTTGGGCAAACCTGATGCTAAGGGAGTGGTGGGACAAACTGAGCAGCCATCATGTGCAGGTTGGGGTCCCTTACAGGACAGGGGCTGCTCATGCCTGCCAAGCAGTAGCTAAGACCCTTGGTAGAAACTTTTCTAAATAAAGACAGGAGCCAACATGTCTCACACAAAAGTGTCTTCTACCTGTTGTAGACCAAGTTTCATTGCAAATCACTGGGAGTTAAAGTACTTGGATTTAGAAAATTTTATCCAAGATGTTCCCTGAGACTCCTAGGCCGTATGTTAACATGGTACCCCCTAGTGTCTGCAGCCAGCAGGAGACCATATGAAAGCCATTGTAAACTATCCTTCACACAACTAGTAAGGCCCTTCTCTTTGGCTTGGAAAGTCCTGGATCCCTTTTCTGATGCCACTATGCAGTTTGAATAGCAATTGTCTCAACTCTCTTTTGGGAAGTCATTTCACTGTCTAGATGGCTAGGTCAGGAGCGCCTATTTATTTATGCTTTTTCCCTTGCACCATCCATGCACAGTGCACTTCCACAGAGCACAGCGAGTAGGCAGTCTGAGCTCAGAGTTTTTCCTAGTTTTATTTCAAAGCAGGCTTAAACTTTGGACATTCCTGTTTGACAAGTGGTTTGGAGGACTGAGTTTCACAGCGTGGTTATTGCTATATTAGTATATGTACACAACTACAGTAATTTTTTTGCCATCTCTCAGGCATTCAGCTGTTCTCTTTTGGTTTGCCGGGGGGGGGTGGTTGGTTTTGGTTTGTTTGGTTGGTTTTGTGTGTGTGTGGTTGTGGTGTGTTGGGTTTTTTTTTGTTTTTCCAGGATGGAGTTTCTGCTAAGTGGTGCCCTTTCACAAGCAAAATACAGGCTGGCTGTAGATATGTCAGACAGAGTGAGTCAATGAGTGAGCCTGTTCATGGGAAGGTTTATAACCTGAAACCAGCAGTGGGTGGCTCTCCGTTAGCAGGCAAGTAGACCATTCCTAAAAGACCTTTCCCTATGGGTGGGAAAAGGATAAACAAGGAAGAACAGATCTGCTGACCTGAGCTTGCGAAGCTGTGCGATCACTTGGATGTGCTCCTCTGAAAGGTCCATGTTGTAAAGCACTAAGGAAACCAGACTGTCCTTCCACTGGGTCAGAAATCCCACATCGTTCAGCTGGATCCCAGAGAGATCAAGAGCTGCAAGGGAGGCCAAAGGCCGAAGCAACGTCTCCACATTTACCCCTTCGATCAAGCGGCCCAGGTTCAGGAAGCGTAAACGGCTAAAGCCTTCAAAAGTAAAGTCCTTGACCAAGACCTGGCGAGTGGGGTTCACTAAACAGTCATCTTCACAGCCTCCGGGGTTCTCCTCCTCATAGAAGATATTACAGCAGCCAAAGAGGCTAAGGGAGATAAGTGTGTGGCTGAAGCTCACCAAGGTTTGCAGACTCTTGGCTGTCAGCTTCTCACAGTTAGTCAGGTAGAGCTCAACAAGATCCTGGAAGACGGGAAATCAAAGTTAGAAATATTTCACAGATAGAGTGCCACCCTGTTTCCTACACCACCTCCCACTGGGAGAGCCTGAGATCACAGATCGCTGAACTTGGCTGGTGTCCCCATCCCGTTCCCTATAGTAGCTCTGGGAGCTGAGAAGGGAGACGCTGAGGTTCTCCCAAAGAAAATGGTGAAGGGTGGAGTCTTGGGAATCTCTGGGTGCCTGGGATTCTAGCTGGTGCCAGTGTAGCAATGCTGCCAAGTGAAGTGGCAGCTGGAGGCTATCAGTGCAATACCACCTGCTTCCTGATGGCTTCCAGGTCCTGGTCCTGCACAATCTGTTCCCGCAAGTGGATCCGAGCTAGCCTGGTGCTCCGGGGATCTGAGAACAGGGTGAAGAAGCTTTCATGGGGTTCGAAGATGCTGTCCGTCTTCACCAACTCCACATACCTGTATTGAGGCAATGGCGTTAGCACAGCACGACACAAAGGTTCAGCTACAGCTCTAGCACCTTTGCTGGTTATAAGAAAATGTGACTGAGTGAGTAAGCACACACAGACTCCCTCCTGGTCATCCAGAACAGCCTTTGGGGTAATGGCCTATTATCTCTTCTTGCACAGAACTAACAATCCTTAGGAAAATCTCAGGCAAAGATTTGTGCAAGGTCATGCGTGTGTGCGAGCAAACTGGATTCTGGCAAGCACAGACTCCAGGATTTCCCCCCACTCCCCAGCTATTTAAAGCTAGTCATTTATTTTTCATTTTCAGAAAATTAGCTGGCCAAAGTTCTCTGCCAGACTTTGTGGGCAGGAGTTCAGCCAAGAGAGACTATGATAGCCAAATTATAAATCTCTGGAAACGAGTTGCTTTGTAAAGCTATGGGAGCAGCAGCCTTAAAATTTAACATCTGATAGCACTTTGCACTCTTATTTCTCTGATTTGAGAGAGTTGTAATGCTTCAGTGGTAGGAAATGGGAAGGCTCCTTTGTTGCTTACTGATGCTCTTGGAAGCACCAGTGACTGTTTCACTCTGGGGTTATCTATGTGGAAATGGTGATTTCCACAGAAACTAGAATGATATACAGCAGCACAATAACCCCTGGGGACACTTCCTGGTGAAGTTAATGCAAATCCTTATTTACAATATGAGGATCAATTGGAAATAAAACACCAGCCCTATGAATTCTTCCCCATTTTTTTTTCACCTTTCCCATAAGTCTCTTTAGACAACTATACTCTCCCTTCCCTGTGCCCCTGGCTCCTTCCCAAACCAGACAACAGCTTCTCCACAGGCCTGAAACGTACTCATTGACGAGTTTGTCACAAATCTCGCTTGGCAAGAAGATGTCAGGATGGAGCCGGAGAGTTTCATTGTCCAGTAGGTAGCAGAGAGTCCCCTCCAAGTTACGAAGGCAGTAATCTGTGCACAAGGTCATTAGTGACTCGGGGCTATCGGATGCCATCTTGAGGGAAGTCACGGGAAGGGGAAGAGCAGAAGAAAGCTTTTGATTCAGTAGATCCTTTCCTCAAATGAAGTTCCAGGATGAATTTACAGGGACATCTGGACAGCTATAAGCAGGGGGGGAAAAAAAGATGCATTGAGAAAGGCACATCGGCAAGTGTCCTGCAAAGCTGTTGCACCAGTAGGATGTTGATGGTTGTATTTACAGCCCATCACTTGCTGACCTCAAAAGAACCTGCAGCATTTTGGCCTCGCTGGCAGTGTGCCCTGAATTCCTTGGTATCCCCACCCCCAGGGGACACCGTGGGAATGAGTTAACATGAAACATGTTTGGAAATGAGGCTACACAGCAAGAAAATGTTTCCTCATTGCAGGGGTTATCTGGCTAACAAAGGCCCTCTGAAAGGGAAGTGGCAGAAACCACGTTGCTTCGTTTCCTTCAGAGTGGGCTGGATAAACCACCAGAAAATTTACTGTCAGGACGATCCTTTGTATAGCCCCAGTGGGATCTGATGGCCCAGCACTTCGTGCCTGTAATTTTGTTTGCTATCATTTGCAGTGAAATTTCATGTTCAAGCTAAATGTTTTTCTGTAGCGCCAAGCCAGAAGCTTCATGCAAGTCCTTGAACTAGACCGTGAAGTGGATCAGAAGCCAGAGGGAAACATATAGACTGGTTTGGCTTCCCTCTGAGTGTGCTGTAAAGCAAGGTTTATGCACACGCTGGACACCTGTAACTCCCTGGGACTTGTTCACCCAAACCATTTCAAATCTGTCACAAAAAAAGAATGAGTGACTGACCTGGAAAAAGGCAAGACACTTTTGCCCTTCTTTATTTTTTAGTACAGGATAAAGAAGGATGGGTGAGGCAGATAATTAGGGGAAGCTATTCCTGTCTATCTTCTTATTTGAAAAATCTCATGGCTCTAGTATTGAGGGCTTGCTGGAGCCTTGGAGGTGCTTAGCAGAAGTGACTGAAAACAAAAAATGCCATTTCACTTTCAAAGGGTCAAATCACATTCTAAGCAATCCTAATGTGAACCCTTCTATATATTTCCATAGGCACACAAAAATTGTGTTGAAATGTTTATTTTTGATGTAAACCTGGTCTCCTGTTAATAAGTATGTCCCTGCTGGCAGTGAGACCACTGGTGCTGTGGAGTCAGTTACTCTCCTCTGCGTCACAGCTGAGTAGCCATTGCTGGGGAAGTTGTTGCAAAATGTTCTTCACTATATTCCGTTTCTGATCTTTATCCTGCAGTTGCAAACATCAGGACGCTTGTCTGTGTCTCCAGCTCTCTGCATCTCTAAAGCCTCTGGTGCTCTCTCTTTCCTTCATTCCTACAGTATCAGTACAAGATGGAAGAGTTTAACTCCATTTCCTCACCTTAATTGCTATCCCCAAAGGCACCCGGGGTGGATCAGGCACCTTCCCTCCTCCTTTCAGACGCTCTGTTCAGCCACTGCCTGGGCGATGACACCCGTACGAAGGATCAGTTAAGGCTGTGGATGAGGTAACCTTTCAAATTCAGGCACTGAATGATCTCTGGGTGACAGAAGCAGGCTGTGACTGAGCCTGCCTGGCAGTCCGGTCTCCTGGCCTTCTGATCCTTCCCTGTGCTGCAGAGTGGATTTCCATGCAAACATGGAGGCAGCACAAGTTGGAAATCAAAGCTCCTTCCTTCCTTCCTTCTGTGTTTCATTAATTCTTTTTCTGAGGGTGTGCTTCAGCACCAATGACAAAGAGTTGGCCAAGGAATTAACCCAAGACAGAAAGGAGCCTCTCAAAAAGCAAATGGGGATCAGCAGAACTGCTCCTCACTCGGCAGTGGAGGAACAGCCATGCTAGATCTCTCCTGTGGTACGCTCACCCCGGGCCTCCTCCTAGGCCAAATCTCATTCTAGTGTAAGTGGACAAAACCTTACAGGCAGAAGCAGGCACGGGTGATAAACTGGACTTGTCTTTTGGCTTTACTTGAGTTTGATTGATAGTTTCTCCTTCCTATGAGCATCTTTGGGAACTATATCTGCAGACAACTGGCACGTTCCAGTCCCAAACTCCTTCTGACTCACTATGTTCTGACCTACAACTTTCAACCGCCTTTCCAGTGGGGATCTAGGCAGGATCTCTGCCGATTTTGGCTCAAGAGGCAAAATGTCGTCAAGCAAAAGCAGACGCTGAGGAAAAAACCCAACCCAAAACCTCAGCAATCACAAAAATTGTATTTAACATCCCGATTAGAGATAGTTTAAAGGATGTAACCTGCTCTTCTGGGTCACTGAGTCCTGAGCTGGGGTCGTAATAACACAAAAGTATGACTCCTCCAGGGTGCCACGACAGCTCAGAGACCTTTGAGGTACGTGTAGTGCAAATAATGAAAATTAGTAAGATGGTGGGTCTTCAATTTTGAAAAAGATTTGTCATTAAACGAGCAGAGAAATCAAGGATGAAATGGGCCACTGAGCGCAAAATATTGTCTCACTGGCCGTCAGGTCCTAGCTCGGGGAATGCAGATGGGAGGAAGTTGTCCTGTGCTCGGCACTGTGTCTGCTTTGGAGACGAATCTGCTTCACCTCCAGAACAAGTCCTTCTCGCAGATTTTGCCTGAAGCTTCCTTGAGAGAATCTTTCCAGAAAGGCAAGACCAACAGGAAGATCTGAACCAGTCAGGAAACGTGTTCTGCTATCCCTACCAGTTCCCCTGTGCCCTCAGACAGGAGGTCCCACCAGCCAGTGTTCTTCCACTGTTTACTACCGATGGCCAGAGAACTCGAAAACAAATTCCCATTGACAATCTATTATCACGTGCAGCTGGAAATGGCCAGTGCTTGGGACTTGTCCAAGCAGCTTAGAGCACTAAAGGGCAAGGACTGCCTTCCTGTGGCTCTGACAATTCCCTAGTCCCTCTCTGCTGAGACTAGCACAATGCAGATGATCCTAGCCCTGGAGAAATCAGCTGCCCGTTAACTTCTGAGCTCCCCGTGATCCACCAACAAAATCCCACACAGGAGGTTAATAGAGAGGAAAGTGGTTAAACCATCCCGGGAAAATAAAACCAAAGCATTCATCCTCATGATTTATTAGGGATATCTGAGTAGCACCCAGAGCTGCTGCTGTGACCTTTGGGCCAGGACACGATACAAGCTAGTCTCTCCTTCCTCAGACTCAAGACATGACACGGGAAGACGGAAGTCAGAGTGTCAATAGCTGCACTGATCAATATTGTCTCTAGTTATAAGCTCAGCGTGTTGATAAAAATAAATGAACTAGAGATAGTGACAAATCATTAACGTTTGCCTAATCATTATCCTCAGGCAGCTTTCCACAGGCAATAGATCAGCGAGTTGCCTGCCTAGCAGGCTGCCACCAGTGCTTTCCAATGATGGGCACTAAGCTGGCTAGTGCACGTGTGTTTTTGAAGGGTCAAAGACAGAAATGTGAAAGATGTTGAAAATTCAAGTGCAGGAGTCAAAAAGTGATTAGAAGTGCAGGTGCCAATATTTTTTTCCAATTTATTTCTCTAACAGATTTGCCTCCATCTTAATGCACAAAGGAATCGAGTCCCCTGGAGACAAAGGAGCAGGCACAGAACCACCTGCACACCCAACTACCCCCCGAAGCAGCCCTCTCCATGGAATAACAGCACCCTCCCGCCATCCATGGACCCAAAGGAAGCTGCAGTCTGTGCAGCTTCACTCTCCCCCATCACCAGCCTTCCGGATTCCACCAGCCCCCTTTGGCAAAGATTGCTTATTTGGAGGCTACATCTGTATTGTTATGGCATTTCAAACCGCACTGGCACGTGAGGCTCAGGACCACTCTTGCCACTCCTGGGGCCACCCATGCCAATATTCTCTACCCTGGACTTCAGACTGATCTTCTCTCCCAGCCTCTCTCTCCAGGCGGCCGCCCAAAGCCAAGCCTGACTCACCGTGGCTCCACGCCAACGGCATAACGTTTACGCTGTTGCTACAAAAATGATTGGCAAAGCTGACTTTTCCAGCATCAGGGACTTGTCCAAGGAGAGGGCAAACAACATGCGCTGATGTGAACTGATTCCAACGACTTTAGAATAACAAATTTAATATAAATGCAGAGTTTGGCACAGGCTACATTTAAAGGAAAACTGCACTGTCATTTTAGCTGGCATCTTGCAGCTGCAAATCACTGTTTTATTAATTGATGGGTCATCACAGCTTGCGCAGGGAAATACTGTCCCTGCCTTACACGAGGCAACTGAAGTAGGAGAAGACTGAACTATTCTGTGGCCCAGCAAAACCTGCAATTTCCAAACTTGTCAGCCTGCTGATATCGTAAATGAGACGACTCATGCTAGCCAGGAAACACGTTGATCTTTGTAGCTGCCTGCAGTTAAGATGCGCCTTCAGCTCACTGAATTATATCATGGATTTTCTTTCCAAAAGGTCACCGGCCCAAGAGGACATCCCGGGAGCCCCTGGGTTACTGGTCCCCGGGCACTGGGGATCCGCCAGACCGCGATGGTCTCTCACAGCCTC